ATAGACATGGAGGAAAATGAGTGGATGAACACGGAATCCAAGCGGAATACTAGAACATCGTTGAGTTGAAATAGGGGATGTCCTCGAAAATATGGCTGCCTCAGTAAGTGCTCACAGAAATGAGTAGTAAAATGTGACCCCGGCCCGATTCGAACGGACAACCTTCTGATCTGGAGTCAGATGCGCTACCGTTGCGCCACAGGACCTGGTGCTGATAAAAGATATGACATTCTTCTACCCCTAGCTCTCGAAATAGGAAACACTAACACTTTTAATTTATCCCATGGGGGTTTTGCAGGTGCGCGGACAAAATAGTTAATGTGCTCCACATGGGTCATTTGTTGGAAATCTGAGCACGACTCCCACCAATTCGCTACAATCCAGCCTGACAACGTGTCAGTTTGTCAAGATAATGCATACGCTACAATCTCTAACTACCCATGAATGAGTGAATCCCCTCACAAAGGAGTCCGCTGGTCGACGAAGCTACAGGGAAGACCGAAGAAAGTCCTGAACTCGACGAATGTGCATACACTGCTAGGCTGGGGCTACCCGTTATAACCGTACCATTCATCACTGCGCAACTATCCTTGAACATGAACACCATGGAAAAATGAAACTCATGAAGGAAAAAAGATTGCTACGCTTTCATTACACTCAGAAATATCAAATTGTAAGTCATAAGGTCCTGCATCTCTTGATTGCGGACATATAGTGATATTAGCAACGCAAAAACGGAGAAGCGCGCAGCAGTCGATAGTCCGCTTTTCGCTGTTGTCCATGCTGGGAAGGGTTTATGCCGCGGTCGAGCACGAAGTACAAGTTACCCGAACGATCAGCAGCAGCTGGGCAGGTCAAAACCGCAGAGTCTTGCAAAGGGAAAGACTCGGTCTGCACATGAGAATGGATGTCCACGAGAGAGCAATGACCGCTATCTCCGTGCCTTAAGCGGAAACTATTGGACCCAGTTATCCAACCGTTTGGCACCGAACCCGATACATTGAGCGAAGCCTTAGTCACCTTCTCTCGGAACAAAACCGGACAAGTTTCTCTAACTTTCTCCAGCGTAGCCAAATAAGTGATGGACCCTTCATGGTACAAAATGCTCACGGTGATAGGGTCAACACAGACCGGATTCAAGCAGTTAATGTTGCTAGATTGACCGGATTTGGCCTTAGCCCACACGACGCGAATGTCTCCCACGTTGTTCAAAGTCGCGCACCTCAACTCCAAGCGATCTGTTCGAGCAACTGCGACGAACAGATTGCTTCCGATAACAACCATATGAGTGGGTTGCATTCCACCAGAAAATAACCGTGGTAACTCCCAGGTAGCGTGCATCTTACGAGCCTCTACGTCATAGTCGAACAAGGAACCGGTACCAGTGAGAACATGAAGATGCCCTGTGTCAGAGGCAAAATAATAAATGTTACACGGGGCGGTCAGGGCCAAGATCTCCTTCTGGCCCGAAGGATATATCTGTTGAAGCGCAATGACAGAGGCGCATTTGAAGATACCGTAAACCACACCTTCCCTAGCAAAGACCAACTCGGGCTTCGTACTAATGTCAAGGATACTCTCCTCCATAGGACAAGCTAACGTTAGACTAGGCTTAGAGATGTAGGTCATAATATCAACCATCAACTCGGCTAAGGGTCCAACAGACGAACACTCTTTCCAGAGCCCCTCAACCATCCTACAGCGTAGAGCTCCAACGTGAGGTGGGAAGATCATATCGAGACGAGGAAGAGCAACTGCAAAATATACACATTCAAGAGATCTTTTCCGTAATTCTCAGTGAAATCAATTTAGTCTACCCGGTTTTCCGGTGAATTGGAAATTCCAAGGCACTTTCGAAAACTTGACAGTTGGTAATACCAACTTGGTATACCATACTCGAACACAATATAGATCTTCGGTGCATTATGGATTATTTCTATTGTGAATACATTCTTAGCGTTCTCAAAAATACCTTCTCGGAGTTCCTTAATCTACCTCGAAGCTAGCGGCAGGCGAGACACGATATTCAGATGTTCCCTGAACGATGGGCCAAAAGATACCAGAAATGACGCCCAGGGGGTGGGAAGCTTTTGTATGTCACCTTCGACCGAATACTCAAAGATTGGTACTGGACGGTCATAAAAATTGTACGGGAAGTACCACACATTTTAAAGGCTTATCTCGCTTTCAGTAAAATCAATTCTATCGGGTGGGGCGCCTATGCCACCACTCCAAGATATGCCTGTGGTAAAAACAATTCCGTGGGAGCCCGCGATAGAATTTTCAATTTCGTCTGCAAGATTTGGGGGCTTCGACGAATTGTGGGAAACAATTTCGCGGTTAGTGAGGCCGACTTTGCTCGGGGCAGATATGCCATACCGGGACCAGCGTCTATGTTGCAACCGCCATGGCAAACCAAGATGTTCACTATGGCTCACAACATCTCTCGCCTTTAGGAGATAACAACAGTCACGGCGTGACCGTCACGCCTCGTTGAGCCCTGCAGTGGCATATCTGCCCCAAGGAAAATCGACTTCACTAACAGCGAAATTGATTCCCACAATTCGTCGAAAATGAAATCACTTCAGGCGTGCAGACGAGTATGATCTCCCTATCGCGTGCCCCTATGGAAATGCTTGTACTAAAGGCATATCTTGGGGCGGTGGCATTGTGCCACTGGCATAGGCGCCCCGTACGATAGACTTGGTTCAGCAAAGCAAAATAGGCCTTCAGAAGATGTAGAACAGAAAACAGAACCTGAACATTCGAGTCCTTCCTCAATCCCCAATGGGGATTCCCCATACCCTAGCGCCACAGTGGCACTACGAATGCAAATCGCGTTGAACCGACCCGGGCTATCATCGTCCTGTTCGTTAACTAGACAGCATCGAGGAGAAGAAGAAACGGCACAACAATCACATCGCATGGTTCTCGAACAGCTTAGGTGTAACTCGTAGAGAGCTATTTGCTGGCTCATCGACGATAAGGATGAGCCCGAAGGAGTCGGAACTCTCCGAGCTCAGCGTTCAAAATAAAATCCCTTCTGGTGTTCCTATCGATGATGAAGCATAATCTCCCTGAGTTGTCGGCGGCGCCAGGACATTCAAGCAAATATGGTATTCCCTTGTCAAACTCGAAGCCCTTTGATAACTTACGCCACCTACTGTTACGTAAACAGTAGCTGTCTCCTGAAGTACATAGGAGCACATCGCAGCCAGATATTGGCGATGATGTAACATCTTCTGGTGTAGCGAGGGCCAGCTGAGTGATCTCCTTCTTCACGAAAGCGACCGGGTTTGACTCGCTAACCATTCGGAACTCCACTGAACGCCGCGTCAGTTCTCTATGGTAGGCGACATTGACGACCAGCGGTGACAGCGAGATTGGAAAGATGCCAGCTACTGAGGTTTCAGTATCAGTTCGAGCCTCTGATGAGATGACGTACATATCGTCTCCATCACCTCGGCCGAGTTTGGTATAGAGAACCTCGGACTGGCCGTGGCAGGTCGCAGTGAAAAAGCAATGCCCATGGATGACGGTCATGCAACTCGGCCACGATCCTGCGCTCAAGAACACAGGCATGTAATAAGTCTTGTGAACTCGGCCGCCCTTCACATCGTAGTCCACCAGAGAGATATTGTTGTAGCGGTGCAGGACATAGAGATGTGACGTAGAGTCATCGTAGTAACACATAACTTGCCCGTCAACTGCTTTAGCTAGCACGGAGCTCCCGCCTGCAGGATGGATCTCGCTCAAGAAAACGGTGTTGCACTCACTGAAGACAGCGTACAAAACACCTCCCTCGACGAAGATACATATTGGCTTATCAGAAACGTCCACGATGATTTCCTCTATAGGGCAATCGAAAGTGAGCATTGGTTGGGGGATGAAGGACATTATATCACTCATGAGTTCAGGCAGGGGCCCAACAGCACACGTGTCTTTCCACAGGCTTGCAGCCATCCGACAGCGAAGTGCTTCAACATGAGCGGGGAGGATCATATGTAGGGACGAGAATTCTACTAAGTAAATCATCACATCGATGACACGAGACACTCGATGAAGAGAGGGTTAGTGTTTTTGGCCACCAGATGGCAACTGTACCGGTTTGCATGGTCCCTACTTCATGATTTTTCGTCGGACACGGCCTGATCATGCGCGAGTTTGGAGACGAAAACTCAAGTGGGAAGTGGTTCAAAGAGTGCAATCCTCAGGATTGAATCCTGGAGAATCCGCATGCGTTCGTCTTGTTTCGGCTGAGGATTTGTGACAATGCTATCGTGAAGTTCGCAACTGTCCGACTTGATGTTGCACTGAGTGAGAGTTAAGGCATATCCATATCATATCATTCATGGCAGAATTTCATCTTTCTTACCTCCACCATCATGTATGAATCATCATTCGTATGTAATCGCCCAATGCACCCGCACTTGCGCAAATCTGAGTAATTGGAGAGGGGCATGTAAAGGTCATGCTGACAACTTGTCACCACAAGACAAGACCGGTAATACAGATTTTCAATAGTGGTCACCAGACAATACGGAATCCGAGTTGCCTGGTGACCACCCCATCCGTATTACGGATGCCTTCGAGCGAAACTGGAGACTGATCGATCACATCCACGAGCAGGCCGACGTAATCATTTTCTCGCAAGTATCTTGAGAGATATTCTAGAATGATCATCATACAATCTTCTACACTGCGCGACGTGCGATCAGCGAACCCGACCTACGACTGCGTACTACTGGAGCTATCATTCGTCTTTGATCAGAGGTAGGATTCTCGGTAGTAATAGCACACCAAGTTAGATGTTCAAGAACACTAATAGTGACATGTTGGGCATCGAAAGCGAGCAAAGAAAAACGGACCACAGCAGAAGAATGGCCAGCGTCTCACGAGATTCGAGCACCCATATTTCCATCGTGCAAACTGCAAGGCATTGTTTCGTCGGCGACCAATGGTCGCTAAGCGGTTGTACTGCTGGCTCGTGTTGGAATGGCGGGCTCGTTGCATTGTGGAGCATCTACGCCTCAAATACTCGAACCTATTGACGCCCTTCTTCCAGGATATCAACCTTCAACTCGTACATGATGACCTTCTCCTACTGGATAGTCATTTTACGCCTCAGCTTCTGCGGTGGTATAGATTTCGATAAGATCTTGGCTGAATCTGAGGGCTATGATACATCCGATGACCCTATTCTCGGCACAGTGAGCCCAGTGGAGAAGACGAGTGAGCCGGAGTTCGTCTCAACTCCTCAATGGACAACTCCGGTGAGCTCGGAGGGGCCCATTATGGATCAAGAGTAAGGAATTAGAACGCACGATGGGCTCCGTGACGGAGCCCATAGCAACAAGTGACTTGTAACGATAAGACGGAGCCTCCGTCTTATCGTTATAAGTGTCTGTCGCTGAGTCATTTGTGCTTTATAGGTCCGTGCCTAGCGTCCAAGATCAAGGGGAAGATCGCAACGACACCAATAGCTTGCACCAAGATCTCAAAACGATCATTGCACTATTGGTTGTCGTGGTGATCATTCTTTCTCTGCTGGTCATCACCGTGGCATGGAGATCCATGACTCTGCACTGGCAGTATGGCAATCTCGAAGGAATGAGGAAAGGAAGTCAGGCACAGGATGATGATGGGTGAGGCCTCTCACTTGCTTATCGATTCATTGGGCATTTCTTTCAGGAGACCCGATGACGTTAGACAGCTGTCCGAGGCCACAGTATGAGCCGCCTCGGAATGTCATGCAGCGCAATGTACTCTGGACAATCTTGACATGTCCATGATATGATATGATATTATGACGTGGATGTTAACTGATAGGAGTTGGGTTCTAGTGATACACGTCGCAGATTTAGCGATCGCAGCGACCAACGGCCAAATCAAACGGAAATATAGAGGCTGTTCAAAAGAGAACACAGAACAGGCTCCTGGGACTTTCGCTCCGGTGAGGTTCACGAGCTAGTTCCCGCTCTGCTAGGCATATGAAGGGATCTCGTTCAGGAGGAGCTGGAGATGAATATAGGGAACAGATTGGCCCTCGGTGTTAGGAGGAGAAAAAGCTAGCATATCTCGAGGTCCCGAAGTGCCACTTGATGTGCTTCTGTAGATTGCACTTGGTCCTACTGGTCGGCGTGGTGGGTCCAATGAAGCGCGCCACTACACCTCATTAGGAATGTGTTTGACCGCCGCGGGAGGATTTCTTCGTCCGATAGAGCAGCTGTTCGAACTTCGAAGGGTCCGTCAAAGGTACGATCGCCGTGGGGACAAAAGATGACCAGCGGGATGACGAACAATGGAGGAAAATGAGTGGGTGAACACGGAATGCAAACGGAATACTGGACATCGTTGAGTTGAAATAGGGGGTGTCTTCGAAAATATGACTGGCTCAGTAAGTACTCACAAAATTGAGTAGTAAGATTTGACCCCGGCCCGATTCGAACGGACAACCTTCTGATCTGGAGTCAGATGCGCTACCGTTGCGCCACAGGGCCTGATGCTGATGAAAGATATGACGTTCTTCTATGCCTAACGCTCGAAATATGGGACATTAACACTTCTAATTTCTCCCATGGAGGTGCGCGGACAAAATAGTTAATGTACTCCATGGATCACCTGTTCCGAGCAATCCGAGCATGACTTCCACCAACTCCTGACAATCCAGCCCGACAATATGTCAGTTTGCCAAGATAATGCATACACCACAATTTCTAACTATCCATGAACGAGTGAGTTCCCTCACAAAGGAGTCCGCTTGTCAACGAGGCCACAAAGAAGATCGAAGAAAGCAATGAACTCGACGAATGTGCATACACTGCTAGGCTGTATGCTAACCGTTATAACGGTAGCACGGTACTACTAGTACCGTTACGGCACCGTTCATCACTGCGCAACTGTCCTTGAACAACTGAGCACAATGGAAAAATGGAGATCATACAGTAAAAAGCTTTACTATGTTTATGTTACACTCGGACACATCAAATTCCAAGTCACCAGGTCATAAGGTCCTTCAGGTCAATGACCTGAGGTCATTGTCAGCGCGAGCATGGAGAAGATCGAATCTTCCTCGCGCTGGCAACAAGGCTATGGTAGTTCATTTCGATCCAATCAGTATCTTCGCTCTAGTCGCTACGATGTAACGCTCTACTTTGTTCACTCCCGTTTTTCCCTATCCTACCTCTCTAGATCTTCAGGAATGATCATCATACAGCCCCCTACAATGTGCGATATGCGACCAGAGAGTCCCAGTTGAGACTGGGTACTACTAAACCTATCATTCGTCCAGTTTTTACCAGAGGTTGGAGTCTTGGTATTGATAGCGAGCCCAGTCGCATGTTCGAGAGCGCCAATACAGGCTTGTTAGGCATCAAAAGCGAACAAAGAAAAACAGATTACGCCAGAAGATTAGTTAGAAAGGATCATCCGCCATACACGAGCACACTACTGCTGTAGTGCGAAGATGTGGGCAGATAACTAACTGCCGATGTTCACAGACACGCGTGAAGAACTTATATTGTAGGCGACCAGCATCTACCCTCGTAGGAGTCCTACTGCAGGACTGAAGAAAA